AATCAATGAGCGGGAAGTAAAAACACGATGACATAATTCCTGTATTGACTAAAATATGTTCTTGGAATCATATATTCATAAAGAAAATTTAAGAAATGCAAATCATGTGACATAAAGTGAAGTATTTCAAAAAATGGCAACCGAATACAGAATTGCTAATCGGTTAACCTCAAGACGTTCCGACCGATTAACCTGTTAATCGTATCAAACTACGAATTTTCTTGACTTTTTTCAAGTAGCTCTATTCCTAAGCACAAGAAGACTTTAAAAAGATGTTAGAAGTTAAAAACATTCTATTTGTCTTTATTCTTGATCAGAAAACTACATGCATGTATTTTTCTTTCAATAGACAAGATAAAATTCAGAAAACCTTGAACCATGCCTGAAAAATCGTGGATGATTTTCCAAAGCGGGTGTCACACACTTTCATTCTTCATTGTCACCATAATCAAAACTAAGTCTAAACTGTATCATTTAATTTACAATGATTGCTTAATAATTTAATTTGATATATAACTGCAAAAGCTAAATGCTCAACGGTGATGAATTACAGGATAGTCGGGGTAACGACATGGTGTTTTAACAGTAATTTACACCTCACAGTTTGCTCAATTACCCCACAATTTTAATCCGGAGAGCCAAAATTACATCCAAATCAGCTTAATATGTGAAAACACTAAATTATTAACGTTTGAGCAGGATTTTTTTAAATGAATTTTTAGAAGATTGCGTTCAATTTTACATATTTTTAATTTTTTTTCCACTAACCGATTACAAATTTTCTAACCGATTGCCATCGTTCCGACCGAGTAATCGGTTAACTGGTTAGAAATTGCCATCCCTAAAAATAATACTCTATCAGAATGACTAATAATTTTGAATAAATCATATTAAGCAAAACTGATCATGTAAAATCATAGTAAATTTATATGATCATACTAAATTGATCAAAGCATTATATTTAATGTATTTGTTAATTTTTATTATTAAAGCCTATTCAAATATATATTTGTCGCTAAGAAAAGAAGAAAACTGATAACATTACAAAAATAATTAATTTCTCTCTAAATGCATACATTCTATAGGTTTTCGAAAAGTTTACCATGATACTTTATTCAAGAGCTTTTTCGAAATTAACACACTAAATATATGAATATATTCCGTATCAATGATGGTTATTTTAGAAATAACAGCCGAATATTCGAATACTACCACTTCAGTTTCATAGCAAAATTTGGATTTGAAAGTTTGAAGAGATAGAATAAAAATCTTGATTTTCTATTTTTAAAACGTTCATTCACTATACAAGTACTAAAATGAAATATATGGAGATAACGAACAGTATTCAAGCTCAAAAGTCTATTAAACAATACAAAATAGGAGCAGAGCAAACACGGACCTCCAAAACATCAGAGGTGGGATCAGGTGCCATGGAGGAGTGAGCATCCCCTGCCGTACGGTCACACCCGCCATGTGCTCCTTGTCATGATCGGGAAATAACGGAAAAATCCGTCTACAATTCAGTGTGTAAACAATGGCCTAACAATTAGTATGAAAAAACGTCAGTCAGCATTTGACTCAAAGAGAAATTGTATTTGCTGACAAAAGCTTCGGCTATTTGATTTTTCTGTATCTAAGACAAAGTGCGATATACAAAATGACTCAATCAAAACGTAGGAAACTTGCCAAGAACAAGAAATCTTTACATTATGTAGATAGAAATTTTCTACTGACAGTAGAATGATGAATTTCTTTGATATAAAACATTTCCAGTTTTTCGAGCAGCTAAATGGGTTTTGCAAATAAGAAGGTCATGATTATGGCTTTCATAATTATAATTATAATATTCTTGTCAAATTTTGACTCATACATCCAATGCTATTTCTTTGGCATTTGTTTTACATTCATTTTACTCATTTTTATTATGGTCCCCGCGTGGTGCAGTGGTAAGAGCGTTTGCTCAAGATCGAGATGACGAGATAGGAAGTAAGAAGTTGATCCTTACGTCGAGGGTTCGAAGCCCACTGCTGGACGTTGAGAATGATCCTTCGGATGAGACCGTATGAACCGAGATCCCTAGGTCTCGCAGTAGGTGCAGGCATGAAAGAGAATTTCACTGTGCAATGGCCATAAGTACCGAGTACATGCCTAACTTTGCAACACCTGCAATTTGTGGCATCTCAATATTATTAATATGAGTGAACAATTCTAGGAGGGCGTTAAAAAACAAACAATCTTCATTTTTTTTAAAACACCCAGCAGGATGTCTCACGCTTCTGACCGACTCATGTTAAAATATGTTAAGATTGAGAAATTTTATAAAGAAGCGATCATGCTTCCTACGATGTTAAAAAAAACCAGATCCATGCATTGTGCAAAATACAATAATATCAATTCCCTTATTCTATTTTTTTTTTACCTTTATGAAAGGATTTTCGAAAATGGTTTTTATTTCGGAAAAATTAACAGAACTTGTCGTTAAAATCATTTCATTCTAAAGTAAGATTCCATCTCCTGGCTTTGTGAAGCTGTATATTGATTTCCTTGTTTTGATCATGAGAAATGACTTCGCAGAATAATGTGAGTATTTTGGTGAATAATAAGGAAGGGTCCACGAGGCAAATCATGGTACATGAACCTAAATATATGTAATGATATCTAAAAGAATTATTGACTACAAGGAACAAGCATATATTTTAAGGAATTTGTTTGGATGCAAACCAAAATAAAATAATAAATAAATAAATAAATTTATGCATACCACTATACAATATAATAAATCAGTGTTTATAATTTGTATGTTTCAGTAATCATTGTTAAAAAGTATTTGTATACTAGTAGAAAAGACATGATGAATTGATTGTGCCATACACAGTATTGGTATCAACTGTGTATAAAGTGACTTTCTAAAAGAGAATAGTTAGACTAAATTAGAAACTAACACTAGTGCAAAGGCATCCAAATGTTTTCAGACTTAAAGTCGATATAAATAAAAAGAGCTGAAGTTACAACTTGAAGCTAAAAAGCGCTTGGAGCAGGTCTGTTGTTTACAAGGTAGTTAAAACAAATTAGATATATAGATAGATAGATCTATATCAGAAATCTATATCAGTAAAACAGACAGATCTGAAAAAAATGTCTTAAAAAGTTTCGTTGACATTATCATAGACAATATTGATTATGATTTTACATTTAATTTAGCATTTTCTTAATAATCACAAATCAATAAACCCAGTCTTCTGCATCATTAGTTTTGCGTTTATTCAGTGTAAGTTTTGTCATATTTAACAGTGTATAAGACAATATTGGATTCAAAATATTCAACAGAAATGACTAACACAAAATTTTTGCGGCTTAATGACCCTCTATACACTAGAGGAAAATATTTTTTGGACATTGAGAAAATTATAGTGTGTAAAGGTGTAAGTATTGAGCTTATCTATCACATTTTCAACATAGGGTGCCTTGCATTTCCCCCCAGGGAAAATGTTCAAAGACAATGGAGTTCTGATGAACATAAATCACTGCTGTTTACTTAATAGGGCAAAATACCTGCAAATGAAGTGTTCTATCTATTCATCTTGGCTTATTAAAGTGTTTTGAATGCTTGATTTGCTAAAAAATTAAGTAATAAACTGTACATGTCAATTTATTTTAATCTTGATCAAAGGGCAGATCACTCTATCTGCATAAAAATACCACAAAATCAGAATTCTCTAGTGTGCAGTGTATAGAGGACTCTTAAGGTTAAAATCAAGTAAATGAGCTTAGACTGTTCTTTTGGTGCTAGATCCACTATGATATCAAAATTGATTTATACTTACTTTTTCCCGTACTTTACGGCTATAACAGAATTATGTAGAAAATGACGCATTTTCATGGAATTCAATTTTAAATCATGTCAGAAGGCACCCGTATACCTTTATTGAATTCAATATCCTTTTAAAGAAGAGGACAACAAGATATGAAAAACCGTTTTTTTTTTAGAGACAGTAGGTAATATTGGTATATTTCATTTTTCTGAGATGGAGAAAACTCCCACATTTATACCAGATTTTCTTCATTTTTCATTGAAAAAAGCAGTTTAAATTATGTTTTTTTCGTGGAGTTTATCTAAAAAATATGTACAGATACACAATAATTTATTTAGTTATATTGTTCTTGTAATGTATTATTAAAGGAATTTGTTTCTCAAATCTAAGAAATCTGTAGGCACTCTTCATTCACTACATCTTGGCCTTTATTGATTTTTATTACTTATCACATTTCCTATGACGTCACAATATTTTCCATATGGTACATCAAACATATGGATGCTAGGTAAAAGGAGCATTTTATCCGGATATCAGTTGGTCATAATGGTACATAAAAACCCTGAGAATAAAATATTGTCATAAAAGTAACAAAATAAAAAAAATATAATTTTTATAATGTAAACTTCAACTAAAAATCCTTTAAAGTTTACTAAATGTTTGCTGTTATTTTTATCCATTAATGCATAACTCAAAAAAGCTACTTAATTGCGAAAATAGTCATGACAGATAATCTCTGATAAAATTATTTAATTCAATATAATTTCTCAACATAAATAAAATGAAATGACAGAAATTTCAAATCAACACTGAAAAAATATATTAAGTCCTTGAAAATGGTGAACATACGAGGGTTGTCCGTAAAGTTCGTGGACAAGCTAAAATTTAAATAAAAGTTGTGTTATAGATATTTATAATTAGCATATTTATAATCCTTTACTATATGTGAATTACAAAATGTAAAATCTTATTCAGTTTTAAGTGTATGATTACAATTATGACTTCATTATTAGACTTGGGATGGTGACCCGGAGCACGGCAAAGTTTTAATTTAGAAGTTATTTATCACTTTATGCACTTCATTTGTATTTTGTAAAATTCTTCGAAAATCTGGATGATTTGCGCATTATGACGTTGACAAAGATTTTAGTGGCAAACCTGCAAAATTTGAATGATCAAAGTTTCGAAATGGCAGAGAAATCGAGGTTAGAGTCTATCAAGACAGGATCGTCATTGTTCGAAAAAGGGACGTTTCCGGAAAAGGTGGAGCAGAGAGCAGTGATAAAATTTTGTGTAGACATCGGAAAAACACCAACAGAGATCCATAAATTCCTTAAACAGTCGGGAAAACACAATAAAGTAAGCCGTTCTTTAGTGTTTAAGTGGCACAGAAGATTTTTGGACGGAAGGGACAGTTTACAGGATGACATGCTTGAAGGAAGACCATCTTCCCAAGATTACAGTGCGGTAAAAAAAAAAAAATGACGTTCGAGACGTGATTAACATTGATCGGCGACTAACAGTTCTATTTCTATACAATAAGTCGTTTTAAGAGGACAGAGGTATTATGATTTGCAGAATCTGAGACAGGAAGTGTTAAATATTATTTTTCGTATGATAACAGAACAGTTTTTGTACATTTTTTATGACTGGTTAAAGCGACTTTAGAAATGCGTTGACTTAAACGGTGACTACGTTGAGAAAAGTTAAATGTATTTGGCTTTTGACGTCGGGTAACGTCAGGATTTTCATTTTAGTGCTCCGGGTATGAGTGTGTGTCTTTTTTATATCTGTTAAAAATATAGCTATTTGTGTTTTGTTAGTGATGAAAACTTGCATATTAATGACATAAAATATGAATTTATTGAAAATGATAGTTTCATATATTTTATCAATGTTTGTCAGTTATTATCAAGATTGTCCACGAACTTTACGGACAACCCTCGTATGCATGACAAACATAAAGACAAAACAAACAGATTAACATACACAATCTAATATAACAATCAATATTATAGTAATGATTTGTTTGAAGAGGGTTTGCTAACTACCCCATTCATCATCAGGGTCTCGATTTCTTTGTGTAATCTACTTATAAAAAAAGAAAGAACACTGATGTGTTATTGCCTCTATAAGATATGGAGATAACGAACAGTATTCAGGCTCAAAGTGTATTAAATAATACAAATCGGGAGCAGAGCAAACATGGACCTAAAACATCAGAGGTGGGATCAGATGCCATGGAAGGGTGAGCATCCCCTGCCGACAGGTCACACCCCCGTATGTTTCTTGTCATGATCGGGAAATGACGGAAAAATCCTATGATGATTCAGGGTGTAAATAATGGCCTAACAATTAGTATTAAAAACGTCAGTCAGCATATGCCTTAATGCTAGATTGTATTTTCTGTCAAGAACTTTCGAAATGATGACTTTAAACGAGACTGTTGATATTCTTGTTTCATCAACTTCTTTGTCAATAACTTACCTCGTTTTAGAAATTGTTCCTACGTAGAGCATGCTCTTGCGTATCGAATCAACTGAGAGATATACACCCCATATGCAGGTGATAAGGGTATTTTGCTGCATAAGTAAGGGAAGCTGACGATTGAAAAGTTAATGACATCACGTTTATCATAAAGCTTTGTTGTTAGATTACCATTAACGTCTTTTCTCTATAAAGATATGAAAGTTCATTACCATTATAGAGAAAGTAGAATAAGTGCCAATCTTTACATGAGCAAATGACATCTGCTCAGATCATTTTAATAGCCATGAGATGTAACTAAGCCATTCAGATAATGAAAGGTGACTGAAAGTCTTTTGACCGGTGACTGAATGGCAGAACGCTGTAATTCATCCATCTTTCAAAACGTTTTAGTAAACATTCAGATTACTGAATAATGCAGATTTATCCTTAAAGCATTTTATTTGACTAGTATGCCTAACTAAGATGAAAGCTTGAAAGATGTTCGAATTTGCTAAAAAAAATCATTATATTTCGCTCGATATGGGTATATTTGGCGATAATACAATTTGATTTATTGAATTTGTGAAGGTTTATTTTTCAATCAGAATCTTGTATTGAAGAAAAGTTTCTAAACGATCGAATCGATACTAATTTGGGTATTTTTTCGAAGTATCACATGACCTCACGTTGGACTAACAAACGCCTCAAACATTATGTGCTAAATATCAGAATATCATATGGGAGAATGGTGGGATTTTTAGTCCTAATAACTATTCTACCTTTCTCCCATGGGAGAAAAAGTATCAGTTTGGATATTTTCTTCCCAAAGACTGTTATTGAACTGTTGGTTTAAGGTGCAGAAAGAAAAAAAAATGGAGAAGTAAATTTTATTTCACTTTTATTTTCTTTGAATTTGTTGTTTTAATTATTTGTTTTCCACCTTTGCTGTAATTGTCGGCATTTAGACTTCGGTGAAGTATCCAGATTTTTTAGTGGCGGATCCAAGGGAATAAGTGAATGAAATTTGAAACCTAAAAATTAAACCTGGTTTTCATATTAATAGTAACTTTTCAACAACTATATAAATTACAGTTTTTGTCAATGCATAGTGAATTGATTTAATATTTCAGGTGGTTGATCCAATGGCGAGTTGGGAGTAAAATCTTTTTATCTGCCTTTTTGAAACACATTTCCCGTTAACATTGAATACAAAGAATAAACATGTACATGTATTTATCTTTTAATAACAGAGAATGGGTATTTCTATTATTTTTCTTTGGGTGGTGGATCCAGAGGAAGAGGAACTTTATTCTAATGACATACAGTAAAACCTGGTTATATCGAACTCGACAGGACCGGGAAAAAAACTTCGAAATGTCCGAGGATTCGAGATGTTGAGGGTAAATTAATTAAAGAATAAGTTGGGACTTCCAAATCAATTCGACATATCTGTGGTATTTGAGATATCAGTGTTAAAGATACCGAAGTTCAACTGTATATTGTTTTTATCTTGGGAGGATTAATATTTTTTAAAGTAAATCATTATGACTTCCTACTATAAATTGATTATGAATGCGTTATCTTGATAAAGAAATATTGAGGATGGACTGAAGGATACAATGTTTGGGATGGGGGATCCGATGGGAGTGGGGATTACTTTATTAATTATGAAAATAAAGTAAATGAAGTATTTCTGAATATTATTTTACTCGATTAACTAGGTTTTATGACCATAAACTGAGAGCAGAATTGTCAAATTTTCAAATTGTGTATATGTAATAACTGAAAAACAATTAATATTTAAGGAATGAATTTAATAGCTACCCAAGTTAGTCTGGTATAACCTGGGTTGGGGGCAGTTTACGCCTTACAAACCGTGAAGCGGTTTATAAAAAAGCGTAAACTGTTCCAACCCAGGTTATATTAGTATAACTTGGATAGCTATTAAATTCATTCCTTATAATTTAATTTTCCATCATTAAGTGTAAAAAATAAAACAATTTTTCCTTCAAAAATGCCTTCAAATAGTAAGTATTTCAAATGTAACGTCAAGCGGGTTGATACGTTTTTGACGTAAGTCATTGTGTCTTAGGCAACCGAGGTTATACGCTGTATTCTAATTTTTTTATCCAATCAAATGACGAGTTATCTATTCTTTATTTGTTTTAACTATTATTTTAAAGTATTTCATAGTAATGGAAGACATGAAAATTAGGATGTTAATTTTATATTGCTTTACAACTAGTGCACTGATAAGACCAAGCATGGTGGACTGAGATGTTTAAAATGTAATAATAAATTTCAAAAAGAAATAATTAGATGATCATCTTGGACCATATCTACTTCAATAGCAATTTATAACAAAAGGCCCATAGGCCACATTGCTTACCTGAATACTGTGGCTAGGAAAAAAGCAAAAATCAGTTTAGCATTGAAAAGCTTAAGTGGTCCCGACCTACCCATAAAAATAGGGGGGGGGGGATTGTTTGATTTGGAAAAAAAAAATTGAATCTATAGCAACTAAGGCTGCTTACATATCTCTTTGACTATACTGTGGCTTTTTTTCCTATCAGTTTGAACTTTCATCGTGGTTCCACCCTACCCCAGGGGGTATTGATTTACAAAAACCTGAATCTACACTACCTGAGTATGTTTTCTTATAAAAATGACCAATCATGGCTTTGCTGTTCTTAAGAAGTTTTTTAAAAAAAAAAAAAATAAAAATTCCAATGTATTCCTACGATAACTTTGCTCATCCATTGTGGCCTCACCCTTCCTCCGGGGGTCATGATTTGAACAAACTTGAATCTATACTACCTGATGATGCTTCCATATAAATATGACCAATCATGGCTTTGCTGTTCTTGAGAAGAATCTTTTTAAAGATTTTCCTTATATATTCCTATCTAAAAATTTGATCGTCTATTGTTGCCCCACCATATCCCCGCGGCTAATGATTTGGAGAAACTTGAATTTACATTACATGTGGATGCTTCCATATAAATATGAGCAGTCAAGGCTCTGCTGTTCTTGAGAACAAGATTTAAAAAAAAAATTCCTATATATTCCTATGTAAAACTTTGATCGTCCATTGCTACCGCACCCTATCCACGAGGGTCATGATTTGAACAAATTTGAATCTACACTACCAGAGAATGCTTCCATATAATTATGACAAAACATGTCTTCGCTGGCCTTAAGAAGAAGAATTTAGAAAAAAAATCCCATATTTTCCTATGTTAGACTTTGATCGTTCATTGTGACCACACCCTATCCCTGGGGGTCATGATTTGAACAAACTTGAATCTACCCTAGCTGAGGATGATTCCACATGAGTTTCATCTTTCCTGACCCAGTGGTTCTTGAGAAGAAGATTTTTTAAGATGCTTTTTCACTAATTTGTAATTACATGTATCTCCACTTGGAAGAGGGAGTGACCTTCATTTGAACAAATTTGATTCCCCTTTACCCAAGGAAACTTTGTGACAAGTTTCGTTTAAATTGGCCAAGTAGTTCGTGAGAAGAAGTCGAAAATGTGAAAAGTTTACAGACAGACGGACAGCTAGACAGACGGACAGACGAACGCCGGACAAAATGTGATAAGTCAAGCTCACTTGAGCCTTCGCCTCAGGTGAGCTACTAAAAGGATATATATTTACCTGTCATTTGCAAGTGAATATCTGTGGATTCTATGGAATCATTTATAGGGTCCTGCATGAAATAAGAGATTACAATACAAATCACATTGTATTGTACGAGGGTCGTCCAGTTCAATAAATAATTCAATAGATCATCTTAAAGTAAGAAAAGTACGTAATACACATTTTGAACATTTTCAACCCTTCAAAGCATTCCCCGTTATCCTTTACACATGTCTTAAGTCTTTGTATGGGGGATGACAAAGGTCTGTTAACTTTTCTTCAGAATTTCATTTATTTCTCTGTGCTTATTTGCAGAAGCGTTGCCAGGTGCAATAAAAATAACTTTGACTGC